ATGTGAACGACATTCGTACACATGAGGGCAGAAGTGAGTCAAAAGCAATGGAAATTGACACCTTTACTCCCTCGAGTGTACGAATGGGCATTCGCACACCCACCAGCCCTTATAAAAATATTCTGTACCGAAATCAGTCCGATTTTCGGACAGTCCGAGACGACATCCCGGACCTTGCCGAGAATACTACCGAAAATGTGTCAAATCAGCAAGTTTTCGGACTGTCCGAAGGCCGCGACCGGACGTCTATCGGACTGTCCGATGCCCGTGCCCGGACGTATTTCGGACTAGTCCGAATGGTCCAACCGGCTTAAAAAAAAGCTGGACGAGCGGGATTCGTTCCCTCACCTGTCGGTCACCGGGTCCCTTGACCGACGCTCTTACCAACTGAGCTACGCTGACGGCTGAGAAGAGACCACACAGGAGAGCCTCTTTAGCTGGGCTCAGAATCTCTTCCGAGACGAGCGCTGTACACAACGAACGAATCAGCGCATCGTCATGCGGTTTTCGGCAAATGCTTTTGCATCGCACATAATGTTCTGTTCAGGTCATGATGAACGACCGTTTTGAAAAATAAAATATGCCTGTGTAGTTTACTCAAATTTAAAGAGGCAAATTGCCAGCACTAAATAAAATAAAATTTTGTCCTATAATTTTCCTGGCGCTTTCAGTGCTCAGCAGCAGAAAGTTGAATATGCGTAATAGGTGGATTAAACAAATTTTCACAATTTATTAATCATTGTATGGATATAGTTTGCCAATTTTCACAAAAAAGAGTACAAGTCTTTTGTGCTTAAACAGCTCGAGACCGTCCTGTGACGACTCGGGTTGATAGTCGGACTGTCTTCGGACGGTCCGGACCGGACTACCGGACTTATTAGGGACTGTCCGGTAGCATCGGACTTTTTACGGACAGTCCTGGCTGCCGAGGGCTACTTTCGGACAGTCCGGGATCGGACTCGGATTACTGACGGACTGTCCTGGAACATATTTGGAAGTGTCCGAGACAATCGGACTGCTTTTGGAACAGTCCCGGACGAGTTTCGGAATGATTTCGTTTTATAAGGGAGTGTGTGACAGTCACACAGTTGCGTCTCCCTTAGCTCGTGCGTTTACTCGTTGTGTGGACGTGTGTCAAGTGCGTGCGTCCGTGCGTGCGTCGATACAGACCACCACGTTCCCGATTCATAGGGGAAGGAGGAGGCCTTTATTTTCTCCCGGAACTGGGAGTGTATTCCATCATCAATCTTGTGTGAGCGTGTGTGTGTGTGTGCGTTGCCCCAGTGCGTGCAGTGGCGTGCATCGGCACAAGGCAGTGGCGCCTCCCCCCCCCC